TATTTGACTTTATGGGCCTTCCTTCTTGAGTTAGGGGCTTCAAAGCTGGAATATGTGAAAACCGCCTAACTTTTACATTATTATTTATAACTCGGGAAAAATGACAGAAAAATCCAACTTTGTATATTCATTTTAAAGCTAATGAAATTCTCCTTTTAATGGTCTACCAGTAGTTGCAAAAAATTTTTTAGTTTCGGAGATATTTCAGTGAAAAATCAAATATGTTTCCAATAAATTTTTTTTTAGTCGTCATTTACTCAAAATTCCACATTATGCAGGAAGCAAAGCTCTATATTTTGACTTTCTTCTTGATATTACATAAGGTGAGAAATATTTCAGAAACAACATGTATATCGAGCGAAAAACTGAGGTCAAAAAATTAGAAAATTAACTAAAACGTATTTTCCATACAAAAACAAAATTTTTTAATCTTTATTGCGCAGTATTAACATGTATTTTCTGATTTTCAAAATGACATTTGGATTACCTTTATTTTCCTACAAAATATTTCCAAAAATTTCATGAAACGATAAAATCAACAAAAACAAGTTTTTTCGCAATTAATTATAATCCAAGAAATGTTCACTCTTCGATCTTCCGTGTATTTTGTTATTATTCTATAATTGCAATTAATGACCTTCACGTATAGCTAATATGGAAAATTTTAATTTTCTTATTACTTACAAGAGCGTTTTTTTATTAGGAAAGCGAAATTAAAGTAATCAAATCAAAATTTATCAAAATATGGTCTTATATAGTCGCAATAAAAAATATTTTATTTTCTGATTAAGAATGCTAAAATACTTACTAACTCTACATTCTATTTCATATTATTAAAAGTATTATAATAATAATATTATTATATTAGTAAATTCAGAAGTTAAGTAACTTGTTAAAAAAATTACTTACTTAAAATTGAAGAAGATTGGATAGTCGTGGATGTATGATTTTTCACTATCGATGTTAATAATTTATTAATTATTGTCAATATTTTAGAACCACCTGAAAAGTTGCATAATATAATCAATCTATAATGAAAAGGGAATAAGGATTACAAAATTATCAAATTATTTAAAATATTTTCTAATCTTCAAATGTTTACTGTCAAGTTGAATACTTTATGCGCAGGCTCAAGTCATTTTTTGTGCTGATTTTTAATATCCTATATTCTTCATATTAGTGTATTTCAAAAATATCAAGTTAAAACAATCATAAATTTGATTTTCCTTATAGTGTCAAATGAGCTTCTTGAATATTTTTTTCTTCCCCTCTGTGTGAAATGAAAGTGAATTGAATAAGAGAACAAATTTTTTGTTCTTAATTGTTATAATAAAATAAAATACTCATATTGTTAAAATATTTTTGATCCTGACCCTAAAATATTATTTTTCTTTAATAATTTTGTTATCAAGTCAAATAACTTACACCATTTTTTTTCTAATTTTCGAGTATTAAGAGACACAAAAAAATTGTTCACCATAATTTTCAGTCACACTAAAATTCAATTAAATTGTATAGTCTTTACTTAAAAATAAAAAAATATGTGTACGTGTATAAATTACATACCAAATTAAAAGCATATTCCAAAACAGTAAGTGATTGAAAAGGACACGTTTTTGCTTTTTAGTGAGCCCACGCTGCACAATAACAAAAATATAATTAATGACCTTCAAAAAAAAATTGCAAATATAAAATATATTTAAATATATCTAAAGAAAATTTGCTTCTAAAATTTCAAGCTATGCCCTTTTGATGTTCTTATATAGATTTACATTGAAAAGAAGAAATCTTTTGGGATTTCTATCAATAATTTTCTTATTCATATAGTTCCAGTATATACTCTATTTACAAATTACCCCTACCCAAACAGAGTAAAAAATAATTTCCACCCTTCAATTATCGAATATTTACAAATTTTATTAATATACACTATATAGACTACATTGTATACGCATAAAATTATATGCATGCGTACATATTTGCACGTACGCATGCATTAATGTTCGTTTAAAATATTTTTACTTTTGAAATGCATTCAATCATTTTATTGTCCTTGATTGTCTCCTTATTTAATATTTACTATAAATACACAATAACATTATTTAATCAGACGGAACCCCAGTTTTTGGTCTAGATTGAAATGTACATAAATATATACTTACGTACATAACTATGAAATAAGAAGGTGAAGGTAAAGATATAGAAAGCAACAAAATCCGCCACAAGCCAGACTCATAGATAAATTGTATTAATTGAAAGTATATTCAGATAAGTTGTGTGGTTTATTTTCCTTCATATTCTGAGGAAAGTGTGCGTACGTGTATATTTTATTATTTAATGTATTGTTGTTGTACAAAGAATTTATAGAAAAGAAAATAATCCACCCTAAAAATTTGTTACCCTTTTTTTTTACAATATCAAATTTAATAGTATTGACACACTCTCATGCATATACATAGCATTTTTATTTAAATATGCGTTTGTATTTCTGATGCATAAAATTGTTGATAACGATGTTTTATTGCATAGCCTATGCCTTAATATTCTAACAAAAGTTTCTCAAGATAAAAGATGAAAAATAGTGCTCGTAATTTAAATTAAGTTCTTATACATAATTCAATTGCGAAATTTTTCGTGAAAGGACGTGAAAATTTTCAATAGCTACGGCAATTAGAAATTTTGCTGAAAAAAAGTTAACTAAACCTTGACTTTATTTAGAGTTGTAATGATAACGGACTGCTAGTCGTTAAAATTTCATTTAACGACTAGCAGTCGTTAAACTGCTAAGTAGCACTCAGAAAACAGAACAAAAACGGTGAGCGACAACCACGGGCGATTTTCGTTGTTATTATTGTTAACCCAGAGCAAGAGCGGAACAACAAAAGCAATTAAACAGTATTTTGTATATAATGTCTCATACACATGGTAACAATAAATTATATCAAAAAACCGCAATTTTGCTTGATTCTGGGCAGTTCCATTCAAATATGTGTTTTATATATAAATTCTAATATTTCACCGCGGCTCTTGTTCGGTTTTCAACATTTACCAGGAACTGATAACGGGAGTTATCCAGGAGAGCGGGTAATGGATGACGTAAATTTTAATATTTTACAATACAAAAGCCAATTTTCCAAATGACAAATGTAATTTAAAGCGGATAGTAAAATCTATAGTAAATAAAGTTTTCAATTTTAAAAAATGGAAAAATATTTTTAAATTAAAAATATATGCTTTGATATAAGAATAGAATTCTGTGTGATAACACAATGAATAACTGGCTTTCACAAAATTATTTAAAGCAAAAAAACAGAAAGGCTATTTTATTTAATGCAAGAGTTTTTAAAAGCAAAATATTAAAATTTTGAGAAATTATGTTTTAAAGTGTTCAAGTAAATAATATGAAATAAAAATTTATATTAAAATTATATGAAATACGTCCAGAAAATTTTAATTTTCAGCCTCTAAGGCATCAAATATAATGTTTATATTATATTATTACCTTCTATTTTTTATTCATATCTAATACAAACAGCAATAGTATTTTAAATTCGTAAGTTACTTGGTGTGAGTTTACTATGTATAGTTTAAAATAAAATTAAAGTGGTAAGAAAATTCAAATTTTAAAGACTGAGTCCCTTCGAGGGCATAAGAAAAATATGGTTACTTTTTCATTAAAAATTGAACACGAAAATGTGTTTTTGTTGTTTTTTAAATAGGGTGAGAAAAATATAAAAATCGTATATTATTTTATTAAACAGAAAACATACATACTCGTATATTCCGTGAATTCAATGTTTTATTTAAATTGTAAAACCTTGTAATAACAGCAGGATATTGTACATACACGTATATACAACAAAAAAAGGGAACAATATTGGGATTTATAGTATTAAAATAAATATAAAATTGTTATCTATTAAAATTGATATTGTTTACATTGCATTATTTTTTAACAGTATTCAACAAATGTTGTATAAATATTATAGCAGAAATCAAATAAGAGGGTAGCCTTACCCTCTCCCTCATTCAAAATATAGAAATAGAAAGTGTTTCCTTTCTAAGCAAATTTTTATACGTTTAAATAGAAAAAATTATCGTGCATACAAATTAAGATTACGTCCAAAAATAATAATATAAAAATTTGGCATTATTGGTTTATTTGAAAATTACAAGTTTTTTTTTTGTAATAATTGTGCTCGTATATTACACTTTACGATAATAAGGGAGTTGATTTTTTGTTTTCTCTTGGAAAATAATTTAAAAAAAATTTAAATGTTTAACATACAAATACTCAGTTTGCGAATGACATTTAATAAAACGACAGAAGGTATTGAATAAATGCAAACAGTAACTTAAGATTTTTTGTGTCCTAATTTTTGAGATATATTTTCCATTAAAATCACCACACTAATTATAATAAAATTAACTGATAACGGTAAAAATTGGTACTATTGGCAATTAATTTAATTTGTTTATTTGTTAATTTTGTAACGCTTCAATTTTTTCATCCTTTTTCAAATCTATTTATTTATCCAACAAAATTAATTTTAGTTTTTTATTACAGTGCATTTTAAAATTATTCTATAACAAATAAAGCAATTTATTTCAATAAACATAATTGTTTTTTGTGTCTATTAGAAATACAATTTTGCAAATATTTAACATGTGCAAACATACCATAATACTTTAGTAATAATGTATGTTAAAGTAATTTTTTATTACAATGCTATATTTCAAATCTCAAGGGAAATCTGCTTTTTTAGAACATTTGTAAATTTTTTATATTAGGGTTGGCAAAGTCTTGTTTTTGTACTTAGAATTGCGTATTAAGACTATTTTTTGACCTAAGGCCACCAGGATGAAATTATTTTCCGAAATTTTGTAATCGGAAAAAATTACGAAAACCATTCTTAATGTTTTTACGACTATTTTCACTTATCTTGCGCTTGTAAAAATCTTTGTTTATTAAAAGATTATTGAAATCAAAACTGACTTACGGGACTGTGTCATTGAAAGGCGCCATATGATATTCTTTGGCGCCATTCCTATTTGCAAATGTGAGGGAAACTCGGTTGTTAAGTCAAATATTTGCATAACGGAAGGGGGGCACCATTTTGAACGGTTGTACATTTTTCTAAGTCATTGAAGATAATTATAATAGTCTATTTTTCTCAATAAATTCTAAGCCAGATCATGTAACGTGATGAGTCATACACCAAATTGAAGCTCAGATGTCAAGATTGCCACCTACGCTAAAATTGGAGAAAGCTTCAAAAGTCACCTAGAAAATTAACGTTTTTTAAAAATGCATAGTTAAAATTTCAATTTTTTCTTCAACTTTAAAGTCATGTGATTCCGAAATCTAAACAGATTATAACTAAATAAGATATAAGTATCCGTTACCTTGAGGTTTCTAAAGCATATTTAAAACATATTTGTTAATGCCGCTGTCTTACACAGTCGCGGAGTTATACTTAAAAATTCAAAAAGTAAAAAATCAGTCGAAATTGACTTTAAGCTTCTGTAACTCCGAACCTGTTGGACTTTAAACATTATCTTCGTACAAAAGTTTTGTCTACTCATAAGGGTCTAATCATATGTGCAATGGCATATTGCAGTGCACTTTGGTACGAGATACCCTGTATATGGCATTATTTGACCTCATAAGAAATATTTTGACTCCCAATGTAATAGTCGCTGTAGAGGATATTATTCCAAAAGATAACCTATTTCTAAATATGTTCTGTAACAAAATTTAAATACCGTTTAACGTTAGTTTGCAGAGATAAGTATGCGGTATTTTACTATAAATTCGCTCAAGTAGCTCAGTTTCTTCTCTCAGTCTATATCTCAGTTTCGTCAATGTTCTGCTATAATTTGTTCAGTTATTCAGTTATTCCTTTGCGAACTTAGTTTTAAAAAATTTAAATGGACCTTTTGAGAAAAAACTTTAACAATTAGGATTAATAAAGGAAATTTACCGTCAATTATTATGGGGTTAATATAAATTGCATTGTTAACTGGTAGCTTTTTTACTTGTACTTCTTGAAAATCCACAAGCATTGCAATATACTCGTACTGTCAATTATTTTTAAAAAATAGTAAAAAAATTAAAAAAAATATTTAAATTATCCTATAATTCTTTCCATACCTTTAATTATTTAACGAAAATTTTTTTAGTGTTCAAGATTTCCGAACTCAAATAATGCTTAAAAAATAACATTAAGTTCAAGTATAGTGATATTTAAGTTTAAGTATAGCATACATTTTTGTTATTCAAATACTCTTTAATCTCTTTGACTGTGTAAATTTCAAATAAAATTGTTTATTTCATTTATTTGCAACATTTTTTGCAGTTAATATACAAATTATTTATATTGTATATCATGTGCAAAAACTATAATTTTCTTATAATTAACAAGATTTCACTTTAAGTTCGTATACACACAATATAACAAAGGAAAAATAGAGAATTTTTTAAAAATTAAAATGAATCCATTCGTAATTTCGCTAATTAAGTCGAAATATTTGGGTAATCTATAAAATTTTTTGATTAGCAAAAATATCTTTTGTTTTTTTTTATTTTTTGTTCTTTTCAGAAATTTTATTTGGACAGCTAATTGGTTAATACAAAGAATTTGGAATTTATTTTATCTACAATTTAAACACAAAATGAGAACGCTAAAACAAAGAATTGTGATATAGGCATCAAAGAATTTTTTTAATATTAAAATATTATTTGTGAAAATATAAAATACATTCTTTTATTAATTAAATTTCTCTTTTTAAATGCATTTTTTTTTAATTATATTTCAATTAATTTGAAAAATGTGAAATATTATGAAATTATGAAGTATGAAAATTATTATATGGAATTAAAAATTTTCTAATTAAGTCAAATTTTTAAAAATTTTAAATAATCACATTTCACTTGTAAGTTCATTATGAAATTAGTTTACGGACGGAGGGACGAACAGACAAAGCTGAATTGACTCAGAATTTGACCATGATTAAAAACATGTATTTGAGTCTATATCTTAAACTATTATTTCAATAATATGTTACAAACGGCATGGCAAATTTAGTATACCCTTCGAATATACGTTCGTACGGGTAAAAACCATTATGCGTATATGAAAATGAATAAAACAATTAAAACGTTAAGATATGTTTCGTATATGAATGAAAATAATTTTAATAATGTAGTATATAGCTAGATTGCTTTTAAAAGTAGTATTTTCACTTGTTGAAGTGAAAAATGCTACATTACGAACCATAGGTTCGACCTAACTTTGTTGGGCTTTCTTTTTGGAAAAATAAATTTAAAAATGATAACGTTGTGAATTAAAACGTTGTGAAATTTTACTAATTAATAATGTTTTAATAAAAAATTATTTAAATTATTTTCTGTCCACTATACGGAGATGTTGAAAACAGAATTCAAGCCACTTCATTAAAGAAAATAAAAATATAAACTCTATTTAGTGGAATGGGTTTTTCATTCATCTACTCTTCCTGTTTCTTAAAAAATTCTTTTTTTTTGTTTGCAAATTTAATAAAACTAGTTTGCATTATTAATTTTAATAGTTAAATAGTTGACAATTACTAATATATACGCATTAATTCATACTTATTTACATTTTCATATTTTCCTCAAAAGTTTTGCCTTTATACAAATAAATTTTTAATGCTATATTGAGTTAAGTAACATTTTTTAGAAAATAATATTTACGTTATGTAAAAACTATAATTTCTATTAGAACAATGAAAACATCTAACGATATTGTATAAGGATTTCTTAGGTTAACTCTATAAGGACATTCATAAATTTTAAATAAAAACAAAGGTAAAAGAAGAACGTAATATGAAATGTTTAAAAGTTATGATAAAAGCATTAAAAAGCTACTTTTGCCCATTCTCTGAATATAACAATGTTGATGATTTGTACGCTAACTTTTTATAATCAGCAGGATTTCAAATAATAATGTTAAAGACAAAAAAATAAAAAAAAAATAAAAGTTCAACTGACAAGTTCAGAGTTCATTCTATTCATTTTCTGTTTTATTAATGTGACGATGCCTAAAGGGTATGTAAAAATTATTACAAAGGAAAATATACTTTTCTCTTTTTTTTTATAAAAATAATGACTAAACGATATTTGAAAAATGACAGTAAAGGAAAGAAAGCATGTTTCGTTTTTTTTTCTCAACTTCAACTTCTGTACTATAGGTTTCTCCATTTAAATGAGGTGAAAAATTTACAAACATTATTTTATTATAGTGCATTATGATACGAGGGGGCCAATATGTTGCAATGAAGGTATTTTATGGAATCTTCGTTCAAATGTTCTATAAGGAAAAAAGAAGAGTTTTTGTGATTTTGATGCATTTCTTCAATTTTTAGTGTGAGCTTGAAAACTCCCTAGTAGGGTCTTGACCTTTTTACAGGAGGTTCGGTTTGATGAACGTTTTCCATAAAAATCCATTACTGAAATTAGATCTTTTTAGTATCTCGAAAGCCGCGCGTATTTTTTAACGATATGTAGGGCAAGATATCATACTGTGCCGTCTTTTGCTAAGAATAATATTTGAATATGTGCTTAACCATTGCAAGAAAGTATCAGTTTTACAATTGCGATTAATTAATGATAAAGTTATACGTGTTTCGCACAATTACAAATATATCAAGATACTCGAATAACTTATATTGAAAATTTTACGAGACAGAAGGAAATTCTGACGTTTTTTTTTTTAAATTAAATATTCTAAAATAATCTAAAGATAATTTATTGAGTCAGCATCTTATTTAATCGACAATGGAATATTAAAATAAATAATTTGCTGACGTTATTTTTGCAAGTACATGTATACAAACATAGAAACTACAATATGCAGTTAAATTTTTATAAACTTTCTATCAGAATTTTAATGCTCATAAATCAAATTTTGGAATAATACCTCAAATAAGAAAAAAAAAATATTAAAATGTATAATAAATTTAAATTCAGTCAATTTCCCTAAGGAATCCCTGGAAAATATAAGAGTCAAAATAAAAACTATAACAATTTTACTGACATTGTTATCTTTAAAAAAAATAAATAAGCACAAAAACTATAAAAAAATATGTAAAAGAAAAAATATTAACAATTGCATTGCTCTGTGTACACTTCTCCCATCAGTTTTCCACTTTTCTTTCTTTTTTTTATGAATTAAATTCTAGCAATGCACTCGTATTACGACACCTCTTCATAACGTCACTATAACTCGTTGGATAGCTTTTCACCTATTCTTCATATTTTATTTTTATTTGTGAAAATGTGTTGGATGATTTTTAAGTTTACCTGTATTTTTCCTTTTAATGTTTTGTTCTTGTTTTTTTTCGAGAAATATTGCATGAATTTTTAAAATAAGATTTTGTTTTACATAAATGAATACCGTTATTACTGTTACATTTACCGTTACAAAATATGAAAAATAAAAAGGAAAACAAAAATAATGTAGTAAAACAATGAATTGGAAATTTTTTTTGAAGTCTTTTGATTTCATTTTTTTTTTTGTTCATTGTTGTTAATGAAAGGATGTTACTATTTTAGTAGTAGAAATGAAGTTAAGTTTCATTCAACTTGAGTCTTTGTGTAAAATAAACATAATTTTTTGCCAAAGTTCTGGCCAGTCTTGTATGAATTTTACTGACCATATTGAGCATACAATAACGGAAATATGTATTCAAATTTTACACGTCCAGCTTTAATACAAAATGTACTTTTGCAATAAATTTATTAAGAAATCTTAATAAATTTTCAGGACTTTTCTGAAGAAATTAATAAAGTAATAGAGAATTTCCATCAATACAGAATTTGGATATATTTTTACAAGCCTTATATAAAATATCTTGTAGAAGGAGCTTGCCAATTATTTCTTATGTTCACCTATTATAGAAAATTTTATTAGTAATATTATTGAATATTTCGTTGAATAAAACAAAAGTTGAAGAATGCAATTTTATTTTCTCTCTTATGGGTTTTGAGTATATTTTCTATTATTTTTTAACGAAAAAAAAATGTTTTTTTTTTTTAGTTATTTTCAGGTGATGGAACGGCGAATAGAAATTAGAATTTACTATAAAAATGT